TCCTCCATAAATAGGGGAACCGAAAAACCCGCCTATAAAGCTTATGGCAAGGTAAAGAAAGCTGAAAGCGAATAAGGTGAAGCTAGTGCTCAGGTGAAGCAAAGAGTTCTCAACTTTTCCTAAGCATCAGCAATTTGATCCCTCAGCTTTATCTAAGCATCAGCTTCATGCGGAGGGTTTGCCCAAGCATAAGCTTCGTAAGTACGGAAGCTTCAAGCAAACGAAAAACCAATCAGCAAAGAACTTTCCCCACTACACATCTGCCAGTAAATTGGCAACTCGTACAGCTACCGAGGCCGGCCGAAGCGGAGCCGAGGCGAGCCAAGCTGAGCCAAGCTTTAGTAATTGCCCCAATTCGCCACCTAGTCTGTATACTAGACTCGAGTTACAAAAGAGGTCTGATAATATAAGGCAAAGTAGTGTTCCACTACCGAACAGAGTGGCGAATCACTGCGGCGAGCTGTAACTGTACTGGAAAAACGAGCAGGTGTCAAAAGAAGCATTCCAAATTTGAAATGATACAAAAATGAATTAGGGGTTCAGTTCCACTGGAGGATGATTCTGACGTTTTCTGGATAAAGCGGTGCTTTCTTTGAAACTTCAGAGAAGAAAACTGTTGGTGCTTTTAGGTAACGTTCCAGCAGCTCCGTGTGCCTGGGCCAGCAAACGTTCGGCCTGCCCCAGAAGTCGCCTGCCTTCCCGGGCAGGCTCTCGTCTTACCACCAATGCAGAAACCACTGAAAGGAGCACCATCAGCACCGCCCGCAGTAAGTTAGCTTTCGCTTGTATTACAGTGCTTATCACTCACAATTCTTACCGCCTGCCTTCCAAATACCTCCCAGTCTGAGCCTGCCTCACGAGAGCCTTGATGTTCCGGATAGTTTAGTGTGCGTCTTACAGGATGTCTCTCTGCACGGATAAAAGCACTCATCCAGCGTAGCGTCTGCGTCGAGTACAATGACTAATTGGAAACCGAAGTACTAATTGGAAATTGAATTTTATAGGAAGAGAAGAAAGAAGAGGAAAAGAAAGAAGAAAAGGGAGTGGGGGAGAAAAAGGAGGAGGAGCAGAAAAAGGAGGAGCAGCAGAAGAAGGAGGAGGAGCAAAAGAAGGAAGCTGAAACGAAAGAAGAGGAAAAAAAGGAAGTTGAAAAAAAGGAAGAGGAGAAAAGGGAGGGCGGATCAAAGGAAGAAGGAAAAACAGCAGAAGGAGAAGCGAAAAAAGAGAACAGTGGCGGAGGCGAAACTTAGGAGAAGGTAAGTTACTGAAACTGCCTTTCTTACAACTTCCAGAACTAGGTGACAGCCCGCTCTGCTCTAACCACCAATAAAAAGCATTCGTTGACGATTGAAGTCGGAGTGGGACAGTTCATCTTCTTCATCACAGCTAGCGCGTCACCCTCGTCACTTCTTTTTGCCAGTTCTACAGCAAAATACATCCCTCGTACCTCAGTTCACGCCCATATTTTACATTAAGAGAGGACAGTGCACACGGGATTAAATATCTTATCCGTTTTAGAAGTGAAAGACGACGCGTACGTATTTGGTGCTATCCTACAAGTATTTCAATGGATAATCGTAGCGTTAACTGGTGGCATCTTAATTTTTACATTTTATTTGATTTCTATAACAGCTGTACAGATAAATGATTTCAAACTTACTTTATCAAAATATTTATGCTTCATGCAAGAGAAAACAAAGACGGGATGGCCTTATGGAAATGAACTTCTCCACGTCTTCGATCATTGCGAAAGAAAAATAATGATTCCTTCGCTGCTTCTGATCGACGAAAGGATGGGGAGCTAGCATTGCTGAAACCCTGAGAGTGGAGTCCGAAAACCCAAAAACTAAAATCCATAATATTATCCGAGCAATTTTGTAAAATTTGCTAAAGCGAAAATTATGGTAACTGCTCAAGACATTTCTCTTTCTGCGACTATTCTAAATGAAGTATCCCGCATGTTTGGCATTTGTACTACAACTGGTAAGCCATGCAAAAGAGTTGAAAGTGGGCGACAAAAAGTACGAACACGCAGACAGCCTCTTGCCAATATGCGTTTTTGTAATTTGTATACATGCAAAAATGCATTAAAAAATTCCATGGCTTCTACCATTCTGTGACTTCTACCGTTTCAACTGTAACATTCTTACTTGAGCATTCACAGAAAGAACGAGGACAGGTTGCTTCGCAACGCGAGAGTTGCTTTTTACATTCATCCACTTGCCGTTTTAAATCGCTAAGGTTACGAAAACTTGTGCGACGAGTTTTGTGCGAACCGCGCTCTACCCTTGAAGTTGACATCTGTACCCGGAACCCACTAAATACCCACGTGCCATTATGGTACTCCATGCTGTCCAAAAAAAACGTAGGCTGGAACGCACCAGGCGAGCCGGTGCGATCATGCGTTTTTGCACAAAACTTG